GGCCACCTTATGAATGAGCCATCTCCAAAATGTCCTCAACGGGCCTGCTTAGCTCTGGCAAGTTCGAGCCTATGGCTTCCTTTGGGGTGTCTGCCCATCTCATATTGGGTCTTCCTCTTCTTTTCCTGCTGCCTTGACTCATGGTGGTCTTTTTGCAGAGCATCCTGCCTTCTTAGGAGGCGCCCAGAAGTAGGGACAGCCTCTGTTTCAACACGGTTTGCCTCCAGAGATTGTTCAGGCTTGATTTGCTTGAGGACCCTCTGACTTTAAAACAGCCTAAGACAAGGACCACACCTTTGAGCCATCAAGGACTTCCATGAGTTGTCCCGTGTTCCACACACACCGACCAATTTCCCTTCCCCTGCTTTACAGACCTGCACTTAATCCTGGGGGCCGAAGAAGGAATTTTTGCCTTGAACCGGAACGAGGCCGACCCAACCCTGGAGCTGGTGAGAGCAGTGGGGTGCTGATCGGGATGGGGTGGGGATGAAAAGGAGGGGGTAGCCAGGATCAGGGAAACTGATGGTGCTCTCACTGCGGAGCCAGACCTTAGCCATCCTATTAAGGTGTTAAGTACTGTACGTTTCACCTTATTATTATTATTATTGTTGTTGTTGTTAAATGAAGCCATCCTATCCTGGTTTAACATGAAACACAGGCATGTGGTGTATGGCTGGAGTCTAATATCAGGATGTTAATTAATCTAGACCAGTTAATATGGGCTTTGTTGATCTTATCTAGCTGTGAGCGGATAGGGTGAGGAGGGTTGTCTCCTGGAGCCAGAGAGAAGCGTATCTAAATTTTACTAGCCGTGGGTCTAAAGCAGGCTTAGTGGGTGTGTCAGATCATCATGATCATCCTCTTGGGTCTGCAGAGCTGGAAGGGACCCCCGGGGACCATCAAGTCCAGCCTGTCAAAGAGGCACCAAGGGGGAATCAAACTTCCAACCTCTGGCTCGGAACCACTGAGCTATCCAGCAGATCTTGTTTGTCCCATCTGTTAAACGGGGTGTAAAAATCAGGGAACTGCTTTTTAACCACAAACCTGGAGGCTATCAATGGTTGAGCCTGGCAGCCCTCCTTTAGAAGAGTGACTGCGGAGGAGCTACCACGAAGAAGGCCCTGTTAAATTGTGTTGTGACTGCTTTCTCCTCTTCGCTTCCCTTCTTCCCAAGCTCTACCACAGCCGCACAACCTGGGTGTACTGCATCGAGAATGTCCTCATGTCGCTTTCTGGTGAGTTTTTTCCCCCACTCAGGATGGGGAGGGAGAACTAAAGGCGGCTGAATTAGAGAGGGGAGTCGGAAAAGCTTTGTGGGGGCTAAATAGAGGATGGTGGGGAGGCAGACCATTCGTGTGGCCAGACGTCAGCTTTGAGGCCTGCAGGCACTAGGGTAGTAAATAAAGTTAACAGATTATGTGCGATCAAGCCAGTTGTGATTTATGGCAACCCTTGTCCGAGTTTTTACCAGGAAGGGAATAATCAGATGTAGTTTACCATTCCCTTTTTCTTGGGACGGTGTGCAGCTGGCCCAAGGCTGCCCAGGCTGGCTCTTCTCCTGAAAGACCCAGTGGGGGAATCGAACCCCCAACCTCTGGCTCCGCAGCCAGAGACCTAATTCAATGCACTCCAAAGCACTACCTGGGCAGTGTGGCCATCTCTGGTTGCCGGCCACACTTTAGGAACTCCAATTCAGATCAGACATTTTCTTTCTCTTATGCCATTTGCATCCAGGATGGCAATGGGAACCTTGATTAAACCCTATAAACAGGTGTTGAATGGGAAAACTTTCTCCGGTGGCTTTTCCCCATGATGGGCCTCTTTCTTTTCCCCCCAACCCCGCCTTTTCCTTTTCTGTTCAGGCAAATCCTCTCAGCTCTTCTCCCACAACTTGCTGGGCCTCTATGAGCAAAGCAGACGAGACCAGCGCTCTGGGGTGTACATTTCCCCCCACAGACTATTACCCAGGTAAGGCACTCAGATGCACACCCAAGACCTCGGGTTTAGGAAAAGGGTTCAGGTGCGGGCGTTGCCGAGCGTGTGCCCTTTTGTCTACCATCTTTATTCCTGTAACGGGGCTGTTAACATCTTTTTTCTATCAGAGATGCGTTGGTATAGGATTTTGACACAGAAGCCTATCGGCGGGGCATAGCTGCAGCACTTTGGCCCCCGTAAGGTTCAGACTAAAACCTGGAGCGGATCCACTGCCCCTGTGGAATTGGAGCCATCAGCCTCCGCTGGCTGAAATGGCTTCTTCCACCGCTACTGGTGACCAAAGCGTAGGGCAGTCCCTTTCCGCTTAGTCCTCTACAGAGCCTAAATACAGTCTAACACTATAGAGAAAACAGAAAGGAGGGTGGCTGTTGGTAAAGGACCTCACACCTCCTGCTAAGCCGCACACGGGACCAGAGCTTGCATGCCACCCTAACATCCTAGCTAGTCTTGCCCCTCCTTTGGATGTCCACCACCACTAACCGCCCTTCCGCTCCTTCCTCCTGCAGGAAAAACGTGGTCACCACCAAGATCCCAGACACAAAGGGGTGCCAAAGGTGTTGTACAGGTGAGTGCAGAGCCAGCCCAGGCCTGTAGGTGTCGCTGTAGGCCTCCCCTCCCCTCTTCTTTCCTTCGCGGCCCCCCTCTGGGAACACACAGGCCAAAGGTGTGCAGAAAGGCAGACTGCCTCCAGAAGCCTGGCGGCTTGAAGTGGCTGCTGTGATGGGTTCATCCTGAGTCCCCCCCCCTTTGCCCTTAAATGCAGCCCGGCCCGTTTTCCTTGCAGCCCGGGATGCGCCAAGCTGCCGCCATTACCTCTGTGGGGCGTTGGAGGCAGGGGTGGTGTTGCTGCAGTGGTACGAACCCATGCAGAAATTCATGCTTGTCAAGGTAAAGCTTCTCTCTCTCTGACTCTCAGCTGATTAAGGTTAAAATGGGAAGCCCCATGGAGAGGTTGCATCACAGTATCTGTGCTGGCCTGCCTCTTCCACAATGTATATTCATTCCCTCTGGAAATGTTCCGGTGCACTTAGATTGGCCGGTTTCCGAGGATTTCCTGAAGTTTTAGGATGTGTTATCTGTCCTAGATTATAGTTTAAGGTCTCACAAGAGAGAAAAATCCAAAGCAGGAATGACCTGCCTTCAGCATCGTCTGGGACTTTGGCATATGGCCCAGCCTGGCACATCTTCGCTTCTTTACAAAAAGTGCAGAGCAGAGACTCGCGCAGGGGCACAGCAGACCAGACTCTTCTGCTGAGTCTCCGTAAAGCGCCCACTATTCTCAGCGCAGAGGTGGAGCAGAAGAGGTTAGCTCACTCCACCCTAGCAGAGACCCACTGGAAGGATGCATAGCCAGAGAAGATGTGGGCAATTGGGAGGAGGGAGCAGATATTTGGGTTCCTGCCAACTGCTCTAGTTCTCCAAGGTACTAGTCCTGAGTGTTAGAACTGTGAATGCAAAGTGGTTGCTGTAGATGGAGCCGTACATTTCTCCTGGGTAGTGGCAAATACTACATCAGAGTTGGGCCCTGGGGTAAGAGGTCTCTTAAGATGAGGTGTCTTAAGATGTGCTTCTGATGAGCCTAGGCCTGTCCCCGAGAATCTTGTTCTTCTTTCCTCTTGCCAGTATTTTGATTTCCCACTACCCTCGCCGCTGCCCATCTTTGAGATGTTGATGGCCCCCGATGAGGAGTATCCACTGGTCTGCATCGGAGTGAGCAGGGGTCCCCCGGGGCAGGCCGTGCAGTTCCAGGTCATCAACCTCAATTCGCTTACCTCTTGGTTTGTCAGCGAGGACAGCGGTAAGGACCCTGAAGAGAGAGTGTATTTCACGTGCCTGCCTCGAGGGGATGGCTGTGGGTCACAGCGCTCAAATCCAGACCCATTCCGATTGTGCGTTAATCGAGACTCCTCTGCCGTCTCCGTTTGGAGGACCCGGAAAGAGCAGAAGAGCCGGTCCCCACTATTTACTCAAGGATCGGTTCATACGGTCTTTGCAGCCAAACTTAACATCATAGATGCACTGATTGATCTGTTCATTAATCAGGATTAAAAGAGGGACTTCCTGGGTGCTAAAAAATGTCTTAGAAGATTTTCACAGGTTCCTTAGTTTGGAAACTATCACGCAGGCAAGCAACCTCAGGCTTTGTTTGCCAGGAGAATTGCAACCAAACGGCTGGATAGCTCAGTGGCTTAAGTCTCTGGCTACTGAGCCAGAGAGTTTGATTCCCCACTGCACCTCCTTGATAGGGGCTGGACTTGATGACCGTTAGGGTCCCTTCCAACTCTGCAGTTCTATGATGATGATGATCTTTCTGAATCCCATCTTGGGAAAACGAACACAGTTGAGCTTCCTATATGTAACACGCAATTCACCCTCCCGACCACAGGGCTGAGTGTTGCATGTTCCCTTTTCTGTCGTGCCTGAAATTGTTTCTAAGGCTCAGGAGGTCCGAGAGGCATCTTCAGTTTTAGTCTCAGGAGAAATTCTACTGCGGGTGCCCCTTCCCCGCACCATTTAAGCCCCCAACGCCCTGGCCGCGGTGCAATATGAAGGAAAGGTAGGCCATTCATTGGGTGCACCTTCGTTCAGAGGGCAATTTCAACAGGAAAATCTGCCTCCATCAAAATCCTCTTTTCTCCTTCTCAGCCTGCCACTCCTCTGCAACCAAGGCACCAGATTGGATCTCCTGCCATGAAATGGGCGGGCCAGCTTAAACACCTGGCAATCAAAAGCTGAGCTAACGTGGACACCCAGGTTTTAAACCATCTCCTAACTTTCTTGACAGAACCAGTCTGTTCCGGCCCACTTCAGGTCACCCAGCTGGACAGCAAAACTGTGCTGGTTCTGATGGACAGTAAGTATCGAAAGAAAAGGGGCAACCGGTGTGTCAGAGCTGATCCAGGGCACAGAGTTTCTTGCCGGGGGGTCCAAAAGATGTGTTTTCTTTCCCAGGGAGTCTCCAGTTTGTCAGCCTCCAAGGCTCCCCGCTCGAGGGCCACCCGGAACTCACCTTTGACGCGGCGATGGAGTCGGTCGGTGCGTTTCTTTCGTCCATTTCCTCAGTTCCCCCCCCCCCCCGGTCNTGCGTCACCACCTGTGTGCCAATATCCCGTTAACAATCTGTTGTTGGGGTCACAGAGGAAGGCGGGTGTTGACATCCGACAAGCAATCTTGATAAAAGCTGCTCCCCAGGAAAGAGGTCAGCTCAGATCTTCCTTCCTGCCAAAAGGCGCCTTCCTGCACAGCGCTCAGGCCCACGGGCGTTAGGGGCTCGTGCAGATTCATCTGTGGGGCGTGTAGGATTCACACCTGGGTTTCCAGGCCAAAATGGGGGTTGAGGTTCAAGGTCTCTCTTTTTTTGCCCTGAGGCCAAACTCGTCATCGTTTTCCAAAAACGTGTTCCCTAATTTAGGCAAGACAGGGCTTCCCGTGACACCCTTATGGACTTGATTAAGGGAGAAGGAAAAATAGGGGAAGGGACAAGCTCTGACCTTAATCATCCCCTCTCTCTCCCCCCTCCCCAGCGGTGGTCAACAAGTGGATGCATACTTGCTGGCGTCACGGTGTGCAGACATGGCTCCTCGCATCAGGAAAGGTACCGAGGGAACCCTCCTACTTCCACCATCTTGACGTAGGGCCCAAGGAGGGCATTGAGTGGGGGTGGTGAGGACGCTCCTGATCCAACACAAACCTAGCGTTCCAGCTTCTCTCCGTCCCTGGGGAGGAGTTCCAGCAGATGCACTAACTGGAACCACCACCATGTAAATCCTTGCTCTCTGGGGCCGGGTGCAAAAAGCATCCAGTTCTGATACCCCCAAAGGAGGTGGGACGTGGATGGGGGGGGCAGCTTTTCTGTAGGGGCCATGCCTTCACTTGCAACTCTTGCTCTTCTCAGCTAGCACAGGATGTGTGGGACCGGCGATGGACCTTCCATTTATTGGGAGCCTCCAGGTAAGAAACCCCCACCCTGTCACTGTGGTTTGCCTGCTATCGATGGGTCCTCAGCCCTCCCTTGCCTCATGGCATACCAGGAAGGCTGATTGGGAGCCTCCAGGTAAGAAACCCCCACCCCGTCTCTGTGGTTTGCCTGCCATCGATGGGCCCTCGGCCCTCCCTTGCCTCATGGCATTTTAGCGGGAAGGCTAATGTCATCATCATGGGCTGTCAAGTCAATTCTGACTCAGGGCGACCCTCCTCAGGGTTTTCTAGATAGAGCGCTCAGAAGTGGTTTCCCCTTCCCTTCTTTAGTAGGCGCGCTCAGAAGTGGTTTCCCCTTCCCTTCTTCAGTAGGCACAGCCCTGGGACAGTGTGCGGCTGGCCCAAGGCTACCCAGGCTGGCTCTGTTTGCAAGAGGCCCAAGGGAGGAATTGAACTCCCAACCCGTGGCTCGTCAGCCAGAGGCCTCAGTCCCTGAGCTTTCCAGCCAGCTGACCTGGGAGCTAAGCTGCCTTTATTCTGAAGGGATGATTTGAACACAGGGGGAGCCGTACCTTCTGTCTCTTGAAAGGCTCTGAAGCCAAGAAGGCTCAGGAGCGGCGGTGCTGTTGCTCCTTCCACTAGAGCTGATATGTTATAATGTGAGGAACTTCCACGGCTTGTGTCTTCAGGCTCAGGAAGCTTGGACTCAGTCAGCACGCAGCAAAACGGCCCAGCCATGCAATTAAAACAAAACAAAAAAACCCTGGGTACAGTTCATCACTGCTCTAACTTGATAAACGAGGATGCATAGACAAATTCAGAGTAGACCGCTAGCAGAAACGTCTGAAGAAGGATCTCTGTGTTAAACGGTGGCAAAAGAACTGGCAGGTTTTACCAGGATGGAAAGGAAGGGATGATTGTGTGAGCGAAAGATCCCTAAGAGAGGTGTGTACAGGTTTTACCAGGATGGAAAGGAAGGGATGATTATGTGAGTGAAAGATCCTTAAGAGAGGTGTGTATGTGTAGGGGACTGAGAGGAACACAGAGAGAACAAGCGAGAATGTGAAAACCTGTGTGTGTGCGTGCGTGCATGCGTGTGTGCAGGGGACTGAGAGGAACACGGAGAGAACAAACGAGAATGTGAAAACCTACGGCAACTCCTGAGACATTCAAAAACTGGCCCTAGACGATGGCCACCCTCACCTTCCCAGCAGCCCCATCACCCTGTGGGATAGGTTGGCCCGACAGTCCTTGGGAGGATCGTTCCCGAGTCCGGGTTTGGAGCCCTGCAAGGCAGAAGGCGGCCCCTGGCCCTTGTGCCCTCCCGAGACGGCCATCCGAAGCACCCGCTCGGAATCGTTCCCTTTTTCTCTTTGCCCTCCTGCAGCACGGTCGTGTTAGAGACCCGGCCCGTGGATGAGCCAAATGCCACGAGCAACCTCTACGTGTCAGAATGACCTTCGACGGCGCTTGACCAGGTGCCGGCCTTCGACCGCACCCGCAAGGCCTCCCCTTCACCCTGCAATTCTCAGGATGGGCTCCGAATTCCAGACGAGGCCTCTCCGTTTCTGACGATAGCCTTGCGAGAAGAAATGCAGCGAGGACGGGGAGCCCGCAGGCCACTTGCCTCTGGGCGGCCCCTCAAACCGGTAAAGGAGAGCACTGGAAACAACCTGCATTTCATGGGTTTTTTGGGGCTGCCTCAGGCAGCGGTTTGTGTGCGATCTCTCTTTCCTGGTTTTGTGTCTTCCTCTCAAGTAAAGGGGAGGGGTCACCTCAATAAAGAATGTGTGGAGTGTTACTTCCAGGGAGGTCATGTTGAATATATAGTAGGATTTCCCTGTCTGCAGGACCAGTATCCACTGATTCACTTATCTGCTGTATTAAAAAACGAAATACCCCACCTCCAGAAATAAGTATTTATATGTATTTGCAGAGTGTATTTACCAGAACTGGCGACTAGAGGAAGGCAGCGACCATGCAATGTATAGCGTTCGATACGTCCGCGTTTTTCAGCATCTGGAACGGATCCCCCAGTGGATACCGCGGTCCTCCTGTATTGACTGATTTTAAAGAACCTTGGGTCGATTGGGCTGGCTCAGTCAGCCACTCGGTGGACCTGCGAGTTCACGCTGCCGTTCTCGGATCGGTCCCTGTGTGAGCAAAACCCTGGAGGATTCAGGCTGCCTCTCTTGCAGAATCTAACTTCAGCCTCGGGGCCCGGGTGGTGGGAGACGGGGGGGGGGGAGAGAGAAAGAGGAGCGTGGGTGGGATAAAAACCCAGCCCGCCTCACAAGAAAAACAAGAGGCAGAGCCCTTTCTCTTGGCTGGACACAAAGATGGCAACCCCTCACTGGTATCAGCAGTCTATGGTTTTATTGGCAGGGATCCAAGCTGCGCCGGGTGGCGATAAGAGACACGGTGGTAGAGACATGGCAGAGGAAGGGCGCGGGATTCACAGCTGCCGCATAACGGGCCTGCGCAGAAGTTTGTACGGCACTGGCAGGAAGACACAGAGGGTGGGCCGGTCGGACAGCGCGGGACGGGGACCACGACTCCCGGAATAAGGAGGCTTACTCAAATGTGGTATCCCCCCCACCTGCCCCACCCACACAGATGTACACACAAGGGTAGAGGGGGAGGCGTTCAGGTGTCTCCCCAGCTCTAGAAGGAAGCCAGTAGCACAGAGTTGCCCCTACCTCACAAACCATCCGCCCCACAGAGGAGAGAGGCGCCTTACAGGTTAGGGCAGCCCAGCAGGGGTAGCGAGGTGGGAGGGGCTGCATGGCTGGCACCCCCCCACCCCCTCCTTCAGATCCTGGACCAGGAAGGCCAGCCTCTCTTGGCTTCCCTTCCTCCCAACGGCTTGGCTTGAAGGCTGGCAGACGAGAGGGCAGCAAAACGACCCCTCCCTAATCCTAAATTAACATTCGGATCTCGCCTGAAAGCGACCTCCTTCTTTTCTTAGGGGAAGTTTATAAAAGGCACTTGAAACTGGGGGTGGGGTGGGGTTGTCCTTTCACCCCAGAAGGGAAGTATTGCATGGACAACCCCCCACCTAACAAGGGACAGGATCTCCATGGGATCGTTACTGGCCAGGTATGGAGCCATCCAGACCCCACAGCTGACCCCCACCCCCGAACCATCGGATCCTTCCTTCTCCTTCTGCCTGGGGAACATGGCCAGGCGGCTATCAGGGGCGGCGGGAGGTCGGAGAGGGGGTGGGCCAGCAGGACATCAGGGAAAATGACAACGACAGGTCAGGCAGACGGACAGATGGAGGAGACGGTCTCCCCTGCTTTCCCCCAGGAAAAATAAAAAAGGCCAGGTTGGGGGTGGGCTGTTCTTCCACTCCCCCCTCCAGTTCTGCCCCTGCTCCCCTCTCCCGAGGAGAGAAGACGGGAGGGCCAGGAAGGGGGGGCTGGAGCAGGCACCCCCCTCCAACCCCCCGCTATGGCACGTGGGGCAAGGCGGCATCTTAGCTAAGTTGATCTTCATACTGTTTGCGGAAACAATCGCCGGCGGGGAAGAAGTCCCAGCAGCGCTCTTGGTACATCTTCCAGACGTAAGACTCCTGTGGCAAAAGAGAGAGAGAGAGAGAGAGAGAGAAGGCACGCCTGGTGAGAGGACGTCATCCGGGTCGGGTGGCCACGAGCCAGAGTGGAACGAGAGCAAAAAAATGACCCCTGTTTTGCGGAGAGAAGTGGGTGCAGCTACCTTTGCCTCGATCCTTGTCCTCCTCCTCCTCCCCTAGCTTTGCCTGGAGGCGGATGACCCTCAAAACGGGGAGGAGTGGACGGTCCAAAGACCTCTCCCCTCCCACAAATGGCTTGTCGACAATCTTCTTCTCCCTCCCTCCCTCTCTCCCCACCACCACCAAAAAACTGTCTGGAGGGGAAAGCAGTGACCCTATGGCTGTTGCCGATTTCTGCTTTGGGTCCTGAAAGTGAGACAGGGGAGAGCGTGGGGAGGGGGGAAGAGTCTCTGCATGACGGCCTGCCAACGGGCCTGGCAAAACGGAGGAGTCCCCTCACCTGGCCAGTGTGCTCGGTTTCATCCTTGTTGATGAGATACATGAGGAAGAACCTGAAAGGGAAAGAGGAGGCAAGCCATGACGAACTGCCAGAAGCTTCCCCAGGGGAAGGCTCTCATCTGCGGCATCAGGGTTTACGTCGGGGGAACTGTCTTGGAAAAGAAACCCACTCCCAAACCCCTTCTGCAACCTGGCTGGGGGGGGGAACACTTCTGGGGCCCGGCATGCAGGTTCAAGAAGACCGGAGGCCCCTCTCGCCGTTCCCATCGGTCGCTCACATGTAATTGGCCAGGTTGTGCTCTTCCAGCGTGTGGGTGTCGAAGCCGTGGGGCGTCGTGTCAAAATAGTCACTGCCGATCCCACAGATGAAGCATTTGGTCTGTCGGGGGTGGAAAGGACCTTGAGGAAAAAAGGTTCCCCCCAAAGGGCAGGCCCACCCCAAACCAAGCTCGTCTGTTCCCCTTCCAACCACCCCACACCCGCAAGCCATGGTGGCCGTATCTTGCCCGGTGCGGTTTCCAAGCCTGGGGGTCACGGGGTTGGGGACATGCTTCTCCCCCCCCACACCCATTCCCCACAAAAGCAGGCTTTTGGTCTTTCTTTCCATTTCCAGCTTCACTTAAAAAAAACCAAGCCAAATTTCTCCTTTGGCTTGCAGAGAAGAGAACAGAAAAGCTCGCAGGCTAAATTCTACCCGATAAAGAAGCAGACGGGCAGTTCCTGTTCTTTGGGCTTTGGCTACAAAACGGGGCCTTCGAAATCAGCGAGGGCAGCCTCCGTTTGCTGGACTCTGCACCGAAAGGGGTCCTTCTGGACTGTGCCAGGAACGTTAAGGGATTCCTCAATCAGCTGAAGCTGGCCACACGCACAGCTGGATAAGTCAAACCGTGGGGCGGGGGGAAGAGGAAGGCGAGAGTGTTGCAGCCAACTTACCTCCATGTCCTCCTTCACCTGTTCTTGCTGGTCTCTCAGCTCTCCAAAGGCATCAATGATCAAACCTGGAAGGAAGTTTGGGGCGGGCAAGAGAAAGCCACGGAGTTGAGGAAAGAGTGATCCAGGCAACCTGAGGTGCTCCTCAGAAACTAGAAACCAAACAAGCAGCTTGTCTTGGAAGATGGCTGCCGCCTTTTGCAAAACTGCATGAGGATACGAGGTTGTTCATCGGGGCAGTTTGCACAAGCTCAGAGGCACCCTTCCCAGACTCGACACATTGCTAGAGCCGAATTTGTGCATGCAAAAATCATGTCTCAGAATGAAAAGCCACACAATCCTGACCTTAAGGTCCAGCTGGAAGGTCTTCTTTCTTGCTGGCTTACCTTTATCTTTGGTTCTCGGGAGGGCACAATGGACAGGATGCTCTCTCGAAGCACCTCAGGGGACGTCCTGCAAAACCAGAGGTGGGGCCCCCAGATCTCAGGAGAAGGCCTGCCGACACTCACCTTGGATAATGGCCAGCAGGATGACGATGACGAAGAAGAAGAAGGTGATGTCGAAGATGACACGGTAAAGCTCGTACTCGTCGCCCGCTGGGTCCTCAATCTCATCGCCAATGCCCCCGCCGGCACGCACCCCGACATACATGTGGAACAGGTAACACTGTTTTAGAGGCAAGGGAAGGACCCGTGAGTTTTGGATCTACCCAGTGGCTAGAACAATCCCCATGTATAGATGGTGAGAGGACTGATGAGTCAGGGAGGTCATCCCCTTCAAGGCCAACGTGTGAGTTTCCCAGAGATATCCAGCCAACCAAGACACAGGGGAGAGGTTGGAAGCTGCCCCCCACCCTCCACCGTGGATGCTGAAATACAGAGATTAAAGGGAACACTATTTAAATAACTAATTCTATACCTAGAGTGGTCTCTGGTGCCCCCCTAGTGGCCATTTCTGGTAACTTCATCTTTAGAAAGAGGCACGCATTTCTCGGATTTTTTTTTTTAATTTCCAACTATGGATCAGTGAATCAGCAGATTGTGATGCCACAGCTTCAGGGATCCTACTGTACTGGAAACCAGAATTCTGGCCTGCATGGACCTCATTGGTTACCAGTTCTTTCAGGACTCGACAGATCGGTCCGGCCTCCCCAGGCCTGCATCAGTTCAGGGCACTGACCGACCCCCCTGGCCCCCCCATCCCAGACTCACCGTCATCATGTCATTGCACTTCATGTCGGGCTCGTCCTCGTCCTCACTCTTGTTGTAGAACTTGCGGAAGAAGTTGAAGGCCACCACCGTGTAAAGGTACACCACCACGGCCAGCAGCCCCACTGTCATCACCAGCTGAGGACAGAGAGAGATTGATCGTGCAGGAGGCGTTTAGCGGACACCTGGGAAAATGCCACTGTTGGATGGCTTCGCGTTCCCACCAGGAGCAGAGGAAACAGGCCACATGATGGGGCACAACGGTGACAGACAGCGTGCTCTCCTCTCTCTCTCTCTCTCTCTCTCTCTCTCTCTCTCTCTCTCTCTCTGTATGTGTTGTTTATGTGTTACGGCAACTGTAATTCAAGCCACAATCTTTCCCAGCTTCCATCCCGGAAGTGTCTCCCACAACTGATCCTGACTCCTGCCCTCTTGAAGATCCTCAATTTCCAACTTCCTTGGTTTCTCCCTCCTGGCTTTATACACCACAGGGTTCTCTCCTCTCTCCCTCCCCCCCGCCTCACTTTCTCCACACACACACCAACACCCCCCACGGACGGTCGACCTGCCCCACGCCATCCATCTCTACCTGCTTGCCGTTGTGAGTGACGGAGGACAGGATCGTCCGCAGGGTCTTGACGCCCATGGCGATGTCCAGGAGGTGGCAGGCGAAGAAAAAGTTGTTGTAGTGGCCGAGGATCGACATCACCATATACCAGAAGAGATACAGGAAGGACTGTTGGGGGGGGGAATAAAAAAAGAGAAGGTTGGTCTCTAAGGGAAGAAGGATGGAGAGCCTGTAGAGTTAACTAGGGATGCACACGACAGGGCCTTTTCCACTGGTAGGGAGCAGATCTTTATCCTCTGAACACAAAAGAGGCTAAATTTACATGAACAATGGCTACCTGACAAGATTCGGCCACTGGCAACCCCTGGGAGAAATCTAGCTGGTCTACCTTACGTGGGCCAAATCCCAAGGGAAAAGAGGAGGGTTACTGAGTGCTATCTTTAAGAACAGAAGCCCATTTTTTTTTGGGGGGGGGACCCTTTGCATACACTTTTCCAGCTCACTCAATCTTCTGCTTGTGAAGCGAGTGGCTGAGCAAGGTCGTGTTTCTATCAAAACCAACCCTGCCCAATCAGAGACACCGGGCCACCTTCAGAGAGACGCCACCAATCATTCAATGCATAAGGACCCTTTATTCACTTTCTGTTCTGCTTCTGCTCCTTTTTTTAATTCAGGGGATGAGACAACTGGCTTCTCTCCTTCATTTCCAGAGGGGCAGAAGAAAAACACAGGAGAGGCAGAGGGCCTCTGAAGCCTTTTTTGGGTGCTCACTAAAAGCTTCTTCTTTTTTTAAAAAGAAAGACTGTGATTTCTTAGAACTCTGAGTCATGCATTGAACAGCCTCTTCTGAGCGTCTTCAGAAAACATGCAGAAATGGGGAATTCAGAGAGAACAGGAGCCCTTAAGTCTGGGAATCAGCACCCCCTCCTAAGAGAACCACCAAGGCGCTCTCCTTGGTGAGCGAAGGGATGGCAGGGCAAAGATCCACTTGGAAAGGGGCAGGCCCTATTCCAGTCAGTCGCTCCCTCCTCCCGTCAGCCCTCAGTGGGGGACTCCAGGTCTTTTCACTCACGTTATCGGTGAAGATCACTCCAAATTTCCAGATCTTGTACTTGATGTCAATAGAGGTGACCCTAAGGAGAAGAAGCGAGGTGAGAAGGATGCTCTGCAGACAGGCATGTTTACTGCTAAGATTGTTTCTGTGTCTGAAGGTTCTAGTCCTCGCTGTGTCTGAAGCTCATGGGATGAGTGTGGACCCGTTCTGCTCTCTCACCCTGACTGGCCTACCTCACAGGGTTGGTGCTATGAAGGTAGAACTGGGGAGAGGAGAGCCACATGCATGTACTTGCTAGGGGAAAGATGGGGCACCAATGGAAATTATGACCACTGGTATGGCCGCACACCCTTGCATTTCTGATCATCACAGGTGGTGGGTGTGAAAGCCGGACAGGAAAAGAAAACTGATAAGAAAAAACACTGAAGACTAACAAGTAAGTTTTTACAGCAAATTGAGCCTGAACTTTCTCCCTGGAGGCAAAAGTGTTGAAACTGAGGCTGTTCTACTTTGGGCCCATCATGAGAAGGTAGGATTCTCTGGAAAAGGCAATAATGCTAGTAAAGGTTGAAGGCAGCAGGAAAAGAGGAAGGCCAAACACGAGATGGATTGATTCCCTAAAGGAACCACAGGCTTGAGTTTAATCAAGCAGCGAGCAAGGCCGTTGAGAACGGGGCATTTTAGAGATCCTTCATTCATAGGATGGCCACACCTCAGGGATGACTTGACAGCATACAACAACAAAAGCAATGTCTGCTGTGCTTTGCAGAGACACACTTGTGTTTTTTTCTCCCATTGAATCTCCTTTGTCCTGCCTGCCTCTCATGATGTACACAAAGGCATACGGGTTGGCATGAGTTCTGCCGTTTACATGAACGGTGTGATTCGCAATCCTTCCCATGTCATCTACTTGGAAGGCAAGCATCCCTTGAGAAAAGTCTGCCGATCCTGAAGTTACAGCGTCAAGAAAGCACCGATGTTTTTGTGAGTATACAACGGAAGCATCACATAGTGATGGATCTAAGACAGCAAGCAAGTGCAGCATCATTTTGCAAATTCTGCAGTGAGGAAACATTAATTCTGTGACCTACATAAAATGTGCAAATTAAATAGAAGAAACAGATACATTTTACTTATTTTGCATAATGTATTCTGAAGTTCTCAGAGTGTGCTGAGTTTGTGGTCACACGCAACACTTGTGTAGAATTGGCTGGTGCAGAAGCAGCCTCAACCGCCTCACTCCCCCCACCCCCCCCGTTCTGCCTAGGTTTCTCACCAAGTAAGGAATGACTTGTCTGGCTCAGTTTTTTTCCCGTTCTGTGCTGTGATCTCCAGGCTGGCCAAATCCATTCCGAGCAGTTCTGCGATCCTTTCCCGCCCGTAGATGTCCCCGTATTTATCAAGCACCTGCAAAGGGTGACAGAAAGCCAAGAAACAGTAGTGGGTGAGGCTCTTTCGTTCATCCCTGATGTCCAACCAGGGCACGTCATCATTGGCTCAAATGACAGGAAGCCAGATTTAGGCTGAATATCAGGGGAAAAAAACACACTTCTCAACGGTTGTAGTAGTACGGCAATGGAACCTATGACTTCAGAGGGAGGTGGTGAGCACTCTGACGCTGGAGGCACTGAAGAGAAAATGGGGCAACCCTCTGTCGGATCTGTTTTGATTTGGATTCCTGCCTTGAGTCGGAGGGTTGGACTTGATGGCCTTAAGAGGCCCCCTTTGCAAAACTATTATTCGGTGATTCTATTAAATCCCTCCCATGCCTCTGCTTTCCTGAGGAAACCTCAGTTCCCTCATTCCTACCTCACCAGACCCTGTTTGAAGACCTTACCTTCCGCTTGATGAACTTGTCCCAGTAATTGCTCGGGAATGACCTGGCAAGGAGAGAGAACAGAGGGAGTGTCAGGGTAATCCCCGTCCAGACTTTATGATCCAGAGGTTCCCCTTCCAGCTCTGCAGTTCTAAAATTAATATTGCTCGGTAGATCAGGGGGTTGAGGCACCTGTTTCAGGAGCCAGAGGTTGGAAGTTTGATTCCCCACTGGGCCTCCTTCGATTACCCTCCTGGGCGCCATGATCTGCAAGGGTCCCTTTATATGTCTGCAATTCTACAATGATGATGATAATCATCATCATCCAGGGCTAATGTCATCACTGTGTTTCTGGAAGTCAACCGTGTGCCCCCCCCCACACAACAAGACCAGACCCCATAAATAAGGAAGGATACCTGTTAGGAGTCAAACATCTACCTTAGAAGGAGCATCTATGACCTGGGGGGGGGGTTGGGGGGATTAGGGAGGAAGCCAGTCCCCGTCCGCCTCCTCCTCAAGCACTCACGGTGCATTCAGCACTAGGCGGTCCCACTGGCCCTTGATGTCATCATCCTCCGGCTGCTCTGTGATGTAGAGGCCATCAAACTCCAGCTTCCGGGCCAGCTCCTTCTCCCTCTTGAAGATGACCAGCGGCACCTTGAGGCAGTTGTAGCCGATGATGCAGAGGAAGGCCACCAGGGTGTGGATGATGGAGAGGAACTGCAAGGCTGGCTGCATGTAGCCCGTGCTCTCCTCCAGGAAGAAGTAGACCACGCTGTCCTCCTCTTCCTCCTCGCCGTTGCCGTTGCCGTCCCCACCGTCGTCGTCCCCACCAAAGCCAGAGCCAGCCCCGGAGGCGGCGTCCAGCTCCCCTTCGAATCCGGAACCCTCAAACTCCTCCTCGCCTGGGGGAGTGTCGGACACCTGGGAAGGTGAGAGAGAAGGCCGGTGCCGGGTGCAGGAAGAGCCCATTCTTGAGCCTACCGCTTATCCAGTGTCAAGCAAGCAGCCCTGGGTTCTACCTACCCTTTTCCTTCTGCTCTAATGGTGGTGACTCCTGTCCCAACCCTCGGGTTTCCCCTTTGCCCAACCCTCAGAAGGACAGCAAGGAGGATCAGGGGGACTGGAAAACAAACCGTAGGAGGAAAAACTGAAAGAACTGGGCAGGTATAGCCTGGAGATAAGAAGACTCAGGGGAGATAGGATAGCATTTTTCAAATACGTGAAAGGAGGTCATGCCAAGGAGGAGCAGGATCTGTTCTCAACTGTCCCAGAGTGCAGGACACGTCATAACGGGATCAAGCTACAGGAAGCCAGATTTCGGTTGAATATCACAAAAAATACTTCTTTACTGTTAGAGCAGTATGATAGTGGACCCAGTCACCTCGGTGAGTGCTCCAACACTGGAGCCATTCAAAAAAAAATTAAGATCATCACCTGGCAGACATGCTTTGATGGTATTCCTGCCTTGAGTAGGGGGTTGATCTGGATGGCCTTAGAGGTCCCCTTCCGACTCCCCACACACTTTCAGGCCCCTTACCTTGTAAAAAAGCAGGATGAAGTTGATGGCAAAGGCCAGGAAGAGCGCCAGGAAGCGGAGATTGTAGAAATTCCTGGATAGATAATTCTGAAAAGAGAAGGAGATATGATTAGGATGAGCATGGGCGGTCAGGCTTCACCCATGCCCCAAATGTGTGCAGGGGCTCCCCCATTCAAGTATATCCCAAGGAAAGCAAAACCCCATGAGAAATATAAATACATCTTCATCCTTGCTGACCGCGCCTATCTATTTCTACTTGGGTTTTCCAACGGAAGAGGAACTGGGCTGGGTCAGACATGGTTGTGGTGTCCCCTCAAGGCTGAAATGAGCTCCGGCCTAAGACGTGTCACCCTCAGCTGCCTCTAAAATTATGAGCCGGTCCTCAGAGTCTTAAGGGCTAGAAACTTGCTTCCACAAAGGAAAACAAATGATAATCACCTTCTTTGAACGGCAGAGCTGGAAAGGGACCCTCTGGGTCACTGAGTCCAGACCCTCTCAAGGAGGCCTAGTGGGGGGAATTGAACTCCCAACCTCTGGCTCCACAGCCAGAGAGACCTAAACCACCGAGATATCCAGTAGCCGCTGAGAGGGATTATTCTGCATCCAGGAATAAGTCTTGTTAAAGAAATACGGGGGTGGAAGGAAAGAAGCTTCCTGTTCCCTGAATTCTTCAGCACCCTGGACAGAGACTGGGGCGGGGGAAATGCTCTGTCAGAGGGTACTTTTTCCCCCAAAAAGGGTTCCTACCAGGAATTTCGTCCTCTGGATCTCCAGTTCATTCCAGAACTCCGACACTTCCTCCTCGGGCTCCTTCTTCTCCCGCTGAGCCACTTTCTTCTTCTCCTTGACTACTTCTTTCGGCTCTTCCTTCTTCTCCTCTTCTTCCTGCTTCTCTTCCCCTTCCTCCTTGGCTGTCTTCTCCCCGTTTTCTGCACTGGAAAGGTCAGAGGAGCGAGCTGAGAGGTCACGAAAGACACCCTCCCCGGCCTCATCCGCATAGCCCATGCTCTCTTGTCCCAGAGTATTCCCAGCTAGAGCAGAATACATTCTCTGCGGTGTCTTATTGTTTTCTGTCAAGTACCAGACAGAAATGATTTTTATGTTCCTGGGCATTTATGTTTTAGCTATTTCAAACGTTTGGGTGGATTATCCTCTTTCAATCTGCTCCTTGTTTTAATCAAGTGGTTAACTAAGGAAACACAATGCCGAGACCCACTTGGTGAAGGGCAGTGTGAAATAAAAACCATTAAAAGGAGCTAGCTGGGAAGCTGAGATGCCTTAAACTTCTATTTATTGATTTATTTAAAATCCTCCTATGCTGCCTTTCTCCCCAAAAGGATCCAAAGTGGCTTAACGAACTATAGGAGGCTCAGTGCGCTTTTTGTAGGGGTGGGAGCTAGGGGAAAAAACCCGCAAAAGATAAAATTCTTAAGAGAGCTCAACTGAACATACTTGTGGGTTTGTACGATGTACAGAAGAACTGTGCAGCTTAATCTCTTGCATTCATTCATTCTCTCTCTCTCTTTCACACACACACACACACACACACACACGAATACTACATCATCAGAACTACGCCTACATACTCAGATTTCTCCGGTTCGACAGGGGACTCCTCAATCTTCTCTGGCTCTCCTTCCACTTCCTCCCCTTCAATCTGGAAAATTCAGAAGAGTATGGATGAATCCTCCAGTGTTACAGGACCATAGGGAACAAATTAGTATGTGTATGTGTAGATTTGTGTGTGCGCGCGTGCATGCACAAGAAGGAATACCAAACATAACACAACTACCAGTATAGTGTTTCCAAAGGCACAGCAGTACTAACACCACTAGTAATAATGATGGAAATCCTCTTGTTATTTATTTAAAATGTTTATATCTTGCCTTTCTTGAGAAAAGGACCTAAAACAGCTTGCTGTATTAAAAAGACAAATAGTCTAAGAACAATAAATTATTAGAGTATGAAAAAAAGATTTAAACAAAATATAATGTTAAAACTAGTAAATAAAATCCAGTTCTAAAAATACATTAGAACAAAAAAAATGCATTGGTCATGTTTTAAGTATCCCCACTCAGGCAGCCAGTCATTATGAGAAAGCCTGGCTGAAGAGACAGGTCTTTGTCTCTTTGTGGAAGGACAGCCAAGATGGGGCCAGGCTGGCCTCCAGTGGCAGGGAGTTCCAGAGTCTGGGAGAAGCCACCGAAAAGGCCCCTCTCCCGTATCTCCACCAGACATACCTGGGAAGGTGGTAGTACCAAGATAAAAGACTCTTCTGTGAAAGAGGGAGTCCTTAATCACAGCTGCCCCCTCTTCCCAACCCTTCCACACCAGGGATGAGAAAAGACATCTGACTCTCAAAACTAAAACAGACTGGCAAGAAGCCCAAATGAGGATGATGTTAGCTAGTGGGAAGTACAATTTCAGATTGTGTGTGTGTGTGTGTGTGTGTGTGTACGTACGTTTGTGTGTGTGTGTGTGTGAGAGAGAGAGAGAGAGAGAGAACAGAAGGTCTTAATGTGACCTTACATCAAATACATTCACAAACATGGACAGCTAGGGGATTATAGGCATGTGATCCCAAAATTTCTGGGAGTTAACATGTTCGGAAGGCTCATCTCGCCAGACCCCAGGGAATCCCCACTGCCGTACAGACTCCCGTCCTGAGACCCGGACGTACTCCTAGTTTCCTCCTCAGGATGGGGGATCCTTCAGGTGTAGGAGGTTCGACAGGGGTGGTATCCCCCATGTCTCCGAGGCCGCCCGGGGCGTCAGGAGCCATGGACCGGAAGTGCTCTTTCTTCATATCAAAGCCCTCTCCTCCTTCGTTGGGGGCCTCCTCTTTGCCGGGCTCCGCGACCTCGACGTCTTCCCCCTCTTCCACCACTTGGTCCACCTCCTCGGAAGGAGCCACGTCTCCGTGCACTTCGTCCTGGGTCGGGTCCGGCATGCTGGCCAGCAGTTCCGTCATGGTGATCTTTTTGGCCTCTTCCACCAAGCCGCCGCCAAAGAGCGTGTTCCAGAGGAGGAGGAAGATGCCTTTGAAGACGTTGTAGAAGAAAAAGAGGATGCCCATCGAGAGGGTGTAGAGGAAGGTGGCCACCGCCATGGCCATCTCCTTGATGGTCATTTTCTTGATCTTGCGGAACTGGCGGCGGATGTTGCGGTAGGTAAACAGGCGGAAGAAGCTCACCACGCTCTCCAGGAACTCCCCGAAGGCAGAGGAGGCTTCAGAGGGAGCCGAAGCCTTCTCGGCTTCTGCGCTTTCAGCCCCTTCTCCTTCCTCTTCCTCCTCTTCCTCCTCCTGCCCCTCCTCCTCCGAAATCTGGGCAGCGATCTGCATCTCAAAGATGGTGTCCTCACAGAAGTTGATGAAGAGCTCCATCTTCTCCGACTCGCCCCCTTCATTGACCACGTCAAAGATGAACTGCCTCTTGGACTCCTTGACCTGCGGCATCTCCCACTGGGTCTTGTTCGTCTCGCTGATCTCGAAGTAGATGCGCTCGATGCGCTTGCTGGCACCCATGATCTCGATGCGGCCGAGGTAGGGGCTGAAGTAGTTGAGGATGCACTCCGCTAGCTCCAGGAAGGTCTTCAGGCGGTTGTCGTGAGGAATGTGCTCTGAGAGGTTGGTCAACAGCACGGCGAGGTTGAAGCCGATGTCTTTGGCGGGCTCTTGGAAACGGTTGGCAAACTCCTCATAGTCAATCATCTCGTTTTCATCTGCCTCCGAGCAAGATAGCAAGAACTGGATCTCAGAAGGGGTATACTGTTTCTGGCTATCCATGGCCTTCTGGAAGTCCTTCTTGGAAATGAGCCCCCGCGGATCTGTGACATAGTCCTTGAAGGCGTCTGAGGCCACAATGTCCTTCAGCTTTAAGAACATATCGAAGAACTTGAGAATCATCTCCACGTTGCTGGAAGACTCCACCAACATGTCTACCATTTGCCTCGCGATAGTGCCATTCACGACATTCCCTGGAGAGAAGCACAGAACGGACAAAGTAAACTAAGACGCTAGTCAAAGAAATGAATGTGGATGAAAAACACACCACTGGTGGGGGAGTGGATGTTATGTTCAATCCTTGCATCTTTCTCATGGAGGTATGCAGAGGGGAAATGAGGAATCACCACATCCTTCTCCTCGCCTGCAAAGACCATGTAAGATTTTCTGTTGGTTTCCATTCGGTCCTCACACTTGTGAGGATCAGGGTCTTTTTTTCTCTGCCGCGGATCTGTGACATAGTCCTTGAAGGCGTCTGAGGCCACAATGTCCTTCAGCTTTAAGAACATATCGAAGAACTTGAGAATCATCTCCACGTTGCTGGAAGACTCCACCAACATGTCCACCATTTGCCTCGCGATAGTGCCGTTCACGACATTCCCTAGAGAGAAGCACAAAACGGACAAAGTTAACCGAGACGCTAGTCAAAGAAATGAATGTGGATGAAAGACACACAACTGGTGGGGGAGTGTCCTAGGTTGGCATGAACGACGGAGCCCAACATTCGACTCCGATCAGTGCTGGCTTCTCACCTTCCAACAGAGACAATAACATCACCACCATGTCCTTCTGCAGGTCGAGCAGCTCCTTCAGAAGCCCAATTTGGCTGGAATCCTAGAGAGGGAGGTGGGAAGCATAAGAGACTGAGTGTCGCTGGGCTGGAGGGCGACTTCCCTGAAGAAAATTCAGAGGCTTGTTGTCAGCTTTCCCCAGTCCAAGGTCTAGTTACCATGCTGGGGAAGGGCATCCTCCACGCACATCTCCCCTTAATGCTCACACACTCCATCCCATCAGTATTCTTAACGTCCTTCCTTGCCAGACAAAACGGCTCCCCATACAAGACAAGGGAAACCCTTCCTCAAGGCAGGAAGAAGGAAGGGAGGAACAAAAGAGGTGATGGCAGAGACCACAGACCAGTTGATGGGTGTTGTACACCCTTGTCCTGATTCCTTGGATCATGGCTCTTCACGAAGATCAAACCACCCCAGATCTCACAGCATCTCCATTTGGGCAGGGAGGCCTGGACTCTGTTTAGGAATATCTAACCCTGCCACGTGCGTTACTGATGCCACCACCTCAAGCTGGGTGATGGAAATGTGACCCTCTGAAATAATCTGTTCTGAGGGCCCCTATTCTCTTCCCCTTCAGCCCACCCAAGCACTTTGGAAAAGACTCAATTCCCTGAGTGAGGAAATGCGTGTAAGAGGGGGCACCCATTTCTTCTGAGGGAGTCCTCCTCCTTCCTTACCTCAGGGTAGGATTCACTCCGAAATTGATCCTCGTGGGCAGCGCAACAAAAAGATAATTTTGGTGAGGGGAGAAAATACCCCTAAGTGTGCTTCATTCCCAGGCAGCATCCTATAAACTAATCTAGATCCGTCCTTTTCTCACCTCCTTGTATGCTGAAAAGTACAACTGGGAAGCCCCTCACCCCTGCTCTTTCATTCCCCCCAAAACTCTGCCACATGCTTGTGCAGCAAACTGGCAGCAGGCTTAGTCCCGTTCTGGCTTTTCCCCAAGGAACCGTCGTGTATTGAGCATGCTGGAAATTCTGTCAGGCATCCACGTGCTTCCTTAGAGCTCCCACGGTTCCACAGGAGAAAGCAGGGAAGGGTTTAAGCCAGTTTCATTCTGGAATGTAGAAGTGCCATCTCTCATCCCTATGTGCTATTATGGAGTTGCCACACTGCTTCTGGTTTAGAGAGGAATTTTCCTACTCTGTCAGGCATCCACGTGCTTCCTTAGAGAACTACATCTCCCATGGTTCCATGGGAGAAGGCAGGGAAGGGTTTAAGCCAGTTTCTTTCTGGAATGTAGACATGCCATCTCTCATCCTTATGTGCTATTATGGAGTTGCAACATTGCTTCTGGTTTAGAGAGGAATGTTCCTAGTAGCAAATCCCAAAGGGCACAAGCTGGGGGAGCGCGAGGGGGAAAGGAGTTGTGCCACACCTAGCAAATCCCAAAGGGCACAAGCTGGGGGGAGGGGGGTGCCACACTCAGTCCACCCGACAGAATTGTATATTTCCACCCACTTGGCCCCAACATCCACAAGATGACAAAATGAGCTAGGATGGGACGTGAGCCAGCAAGCCGAAGCAGCGGGCAAGCATGGAAGCCACCGACCCCACCCTTGTGATAAGGACAGTTGGTGGAAGGATCAGGCCCGTAGGACCAGGGGCATGGAAGAGCAGAAAGGAGAGCTCAGCAAGAAGGAGCGGGGGGTCAGCCGCTGTAGAGCCAGAGTGGAAAACAGACCAGACCAACCTCTGCCTTTGTAAAGGATGCTGAAAAGACCCGGCCTCCTCCGGTCCTCCTGCCTCTATTGGCCAACGCACAGGACGTGGCGTGTGCAGGGTAGAGGAGCAAGGTCTCCCAAGGGGAGGTGATGATGGGGTTGACAAAGTTGGCTAGGGAAATGTTGATGGAACACAGGCCTTAAGGAACCCTGGATCTTCCAGGGTTGTTGAACTATGACTACCATCAGGCTGGATGGAATGGAGAAGAGCTAGAATCCAATAACGTGGCAAGGGCCACGGGTTCCTCACCTGTGACGCAACGGAGGAGGGCCATGACAGAGGAGGGGGGGGCAGGATGCTTTGTTTTGCCTGACCGGTTTCAGGGCTGTTAAGGGCAACCGGCAGATTAAAAGTCACCAGAAGGGGTCATAATTCTGTTCCCAAAAGCACAGGGGATTAAATTGGTCTGGCCTGATCAAGACAGAAAGGAGGATGAAGGAAAGGATCCCGGAGAGGGAGAAAGGAGAGCTAATGGGTGGGGAATGGGGTAAAGGAGAAGCAGCAAAGGAGAAGAAAGACCACAAAGAAGGAACGAAGGGAAAAGGGATATGGGGGGGGGAGAAGGCGGGGAGAGAGGGGGCAGCCAGAGAGGGCGGCAACGGCGTGAGATGGCCACAGGTTACACAGAAGGTTCTTACGCCATTTCGAAGTCCTGGGGGTTGGGTCATCTGTCACACATCAGAACAAAAATGTTATTCAGAAACATTTTTTAAAGAGCATTTTTGTATCTTGCCAGGTTTACCATCCAGCACATTCCTTTATTCCTCAGGGAGTGGGTTTTATTTCTCCTCCTTTTGGAGGGGAGAAGGCGGGTGGGGGGTCTCAACTAAAGGTTTGGAGTAACGCAGTCGGAGGGACCGCATTCCCCTGAAATCCTTCCGTCCTGAGAAGAGCAGAGAAATCTGAAGAACTGACTGGATTTCGACAAGCCACGGGAGCGCGTGAATGCTAAGAGCAGGGACCCTTCTAGTTCCTCTTTTGCAGCCTCTTAAGCTCAGCTGATTTATCAGAGGGGAGAAACCGCTCACTCTCCTCCATAAAACGGCATGTCTTTGTGGGCTCTTGGGATCTTTTCCCCCCCTCCGCATGAAACAAATTCTCGGGGTAGGGAAATGGATTTATTGCAGCCTTGTCACTGCCCCCCCCCCGAAAGAGGACTTAATTCTCCTGCACGTTTTTACTGACACTTTTTTCTCCATTGTTGCTTTTTTTTTGGGGCTTCCTGGGCTCAGAGAGAGACACACAGAGAAAGAGAAGCGTCTGGGTTTGTACGACGTCTCCTTAACACAGTAATAGCCACTCTTTTCAGCCCAGGGATACACCTTAAGCCTGCTAACCATCTGGGCCGTCTTCTTGTTCTTTACTTCATCGATTCTCTCTAAAAAGAAAACTACTTTTTTAAAAAAGTAGAAGATCAGGATCCTGCCCAGCCACCACTGACAAGCCACTGGGGACCCTCTTGTACAGTCTGTTTTTCGGTCTATCTCTTGGCAGGCTTAATTGTTCTGTAGGGGTTCTCGTGTCTCTTCTCTTGTACAGTCTGTTTTTCGGTCTATCTTTTGGGGTTCTCGTGTCTCTTCATGCTCTCTCTTTCTCCTTCCTTTGGAAAAAAGCTTTTGCCTTGCTTTCTTCTTTTTTCCCCCCAGCCTCACCAAAAACCCACAGGAGTGGCTGCAGGCAGTACAGCCTAATCCTCTCTCAGGTTCTACGTGGTTTCAGGGTGGAGGGAAACACAGAGCACGAACACGGACCCTCGTCTGGGCTAATGCAAAGTGGGCGTCAGTGGCATAAAGGAATGGCCGGATGGTAAAATACAAAAATGACCCTTTTCACCCAAAGCCATTGGTAAGATCAGGAGTGGGGTGGGGAGGTGGGGGAGGCATAGAGCAAGTGAGCTGTTGGGTTAGTACTGGAATTAAAAGGGAGATCACGCCAGACACCACCTCCCTCGCCGCTGTTCTTGCCTCCCACGCCCACGCTTTCGTATTACGGACAAGACTCTTCCCTTCTGCTCGCGTCCTGAGCACCTCCACTCTAATAACACAAGGACGGTTCCCTCCCAGGTCTCAAAGACCCTGCTATGGCAGGAGCCCAGCCTGACACCCGCACACGGAAGAGACTGCGGCAGGCACAACCGCCGAGGCTGATGGCTAGCTAGGATCTTCAGCGGTATGGCCGGAAAAGCAGGACTTAAAAAAAAGGGGTGTGTGTGCGGAAATTGTCTTTACCGGGAATGATACGATGAGCAATGAGCAGGACTCCCTCCCCCTACAAGTGGGTGTTTTATCGTTTGGCTTCCAGATTCATGAGTCCGGCCGTGAAACAGGCACAGAGTTATTTGACTGGTGGACTCAGGTCCGGCTTGGGTGGCCAGCAAGCCAGGAAAGGCCGGCTTATCAGTTTCATGAGACAGGACGCGACTTGATTCAAAGGCCAGTGAGTAATTTGATTTGTGAAGTGGTGAGTTTTACCAGAGGCTTAGAGGTTGACCCTAAGTCCCAACGTTTCCTTCTCTGCTCCCCTTGATTTGGCTTCTGTATTAAAAAGGGTTTGGCAACACACTGGGCAGAATCTTGGGTTTTCCCAGACCAGAGGGAATTATTCTGAGAATTATTCTGTCACTGGCTAGAGATTTCGGGTGGCTGTTTGAAGGGACCTGGCCACAAAACCACGGATTCACCAAGGGAGACATGGCCCGGCTTTTCACCTATTTTCCTGGCCCCTCTGCCTGCCGGGACTCCTTTCTCCAACCAGCGTGCTCCTGTCAACCCTTAAAGAATGGCCCAGTTTCTTCCCGTCCTTGGCTGGGCTCCAGAGCCTTCCCCTCTTTGCTTCTGTGTTTACCTGAGCAAGCTTCATCATCATGTGAGCAAAGACGTGGAGAAAGCCGATGACCGCATCCCACAGTCTGCTGTGCGCCAAGCTCTGCTGATTCCCAGTGCAAGGTCCCTGGAGAAGAAATAAGAAGAGGGTGTTTTGACAAGAAATAGCTGGCTGTATAGCTCACTGTATAGACCCAACTCCAGGAGGCAGTGGAAGACAGGAGGGCCATGGGGTCACGAAGAGTCGGACACGACTTAATGAATAAACAACAACAATAGCTCACTAGTTTAGGTACGAGAGTCGGACACAATTAAACAACAACAACAGCTCACTGGCTTAAGTACATGGCTGTGGAGCTAAAGGTTGGGGGTTCGATTCCCCCACTGGTCCTCCTACGAGAAGGGCCAGCCTGGGTGGCCTTGGGCCAGCTGCCCACCGTCCCAGGGTATCCCCCAGAAGAAGGGAAGGGTCAGCCGCTTCGGAGTTACTCTCTACCTAGAAAATCCAAGGAAGGACCACCCTGTCAGAATTGACTTGAAACCACACAATTACTATTTTTTATTTTACACCAAGCCTTTAAGACTCTATAAAAGTTTTTTCAGAGCTTTGATTTGGAATTGGGGTGGTGGTATTTTTGGTTGGCTTTTAAAGAACATTATGTCCCTTGGTTCTTTTTCTTTTTAATTGCAATTCAGGGATGGCACGGCGGGGGTATTGTTGATCCGCTGATGGAAACCACGCAGCAGCTGCTCCCATCTGCTCCAAGCAGCTGTTCCGGCATCTCCTTCTCGAGGCAACTGCTTTCGACCACGACCACAACTGCCTGGTTTATTCAGGAACAGCCCCAGCCTCGTCTTTGCAAAACAACAACCCCTGGGCATCTCCCCTTCACCTGACTCAGCAGCCTACGGGAGGCCTTCCTTGGGATAGATTCCCTCCCGCAGCATCTGCTTCCTGCTCAGCATTAAAATTCAGGGATGTGGTGGGAGGAGCGAGGCGCCCGGAGAGGGAAATGTCTGGAGCAAGAGAACTCCTTGAGGGGGAAGCTTTTCCCCAGCACCTACCTGGATGTACTCGGTAAGGCTGTTGAAGACCTGCTTGGCCACGGCCATCGCTTTGGAGAAGTTGCGCTTCCCTTGCTCTTCAATCACATCCTTGCCAGAGTAGTACCAGTAGAAATCACTGATGGACTCCTGGAGGTGGGAAGAGGTGGCAAAGGTAAATCCGCCCGTCCTGCCACGGGACCTCAGGATGGAAAAAGAGGGCATCCCAGCAGCTGTTCTGTGCCCAAAGGTAGAATAGACTATTTGTCTACATGGGCGGGGTATAAATCTACTAAAATAAATAAATAAATAAGGCCTAGGATGGCGGCGCAAGGAGTTCCACTGCTGTACTCCAGCCAAAACTTTGCTCACGACCCGGGGTTTAATCCCAGGTCGCCAGCTCGAAGTTCACTCAGCCTTCCATTCTTCAAAAGCTGGTAAATTTCGTACCCAGCTCGCTGGGTGGGGTGATGGTGGTGGAAGACAATGTGAAGCCTGCATCATCCATGGTCAACTGCCCAGAGAGTGAGTGCTCTAAGCGCTCGTATGGGGCGGTATATAAGCAGCATGCTTTTTGAGGACCACGGGCTAACATCTCAGCAGCTCCCACATGTCGATCAGGCAGGGAGGGAAGATCCCAGAAAATTGTGGCCCGGACAGGCCCACAGAAGAGCCTCCTCCCTCCCTCCCTGAAGGCAAGATTCTTCTACTTTTATCTGTGAAATATGTAAAGGGTTTGAGTGCAACGAAGAGAAACGGTGGCATGGAATGGAGTGGTGCTTTGCAGCAGGAAGAGCTGTTCCCCTTCTTAGGCTCATTCCTTGGCAGAGATGCATGGCGCTGAGCCAGGGCCTTGCAGGCTTTTTGGGAAAACTGCTTTTTTTCCCCTGAACTGCCAAGAATTACTTCCGAACTTGGCCTATCCTTGGCCACGCTCTGGGACTGCAGCCTCCCTCTCTGCTAGGACACGGCCCTTGGGACCTCGGCCACACGGGGGTCATTCTCCACCCCCAGGAGAAACAGCAGCAGCAACAACAATAACAATAACCTTGATCTAAGTCTGCCTAAAGCTACTCTTTCAAAGGAGAGTCTGAGTCGAGGACGTGGTGGCCCACGTTTTTTTTTTAGAACATGTTGCACCCAAGAAAAAAGCAAAGTGTGACTGCTTTGCCAACTTCTCAGCTCAACGATCCTTGTGCCAAGGCCACCAGATCTGGTAGGGGCAAAGGAATGCCCTTCTGCAGAGGATCCTTTAATAAAATAAATAACTGAAACCTATTCATCACGTGGATGAATCTGCGAAAGGAGGCAGATTCGCTTTTAAAAAAGCAGGCTCCAAGGACACCCGACAGCAACAGCAGGGGCTGTGGATGAAATTCTGGCCCCGTGGTCACCTGAAGAGAAGAACTCCAGAGATGGAGGCATGATCCAGGGCTCATTGTGGGACTGTGTAGATTTACAGTGCCTGGACAGGCTTGGCTTAGGAGGAACAGGCTCTCACCTGGAGTCGCAAAAGGTAGTCGACGGTGCAGATGATAATGTTGATGGTGTTCGTGTTCCCTGTCTGGGTCCGTAAGTAATTCTGGAAATCTGGGGTGCAAAGCAGCTGAGTGAGGAGAGAGCGGACGTCTTCCCAGCGACACCCCTGCCCTGGTGTCCCCTGCCAACTCTCTTTTATTGTCACAAATATATTATGCGGGAGTTGCAGTTGGGAGTTGCAGTTCTACACATCGAAGGGGCGCCCGTGAAGGCCCTTCCAAGGTGGATGAAGGGCAATTCTTGACCTCCACACCATAGGCCCGGCGGATGGGAATGGATGTCCTATGACATCTGGAGGGCCACGCGTTCTCCATTCCATCTTTTAATGGCATCCTGTGTGCCTCAAACACGGACCTCGTTCCAAGGGCTCCCTCCTCTCATGCCCTTAAATGTGTTGGCCATGTTCTCTCAAGGACAGAGGGAGAGAGAGAAGCAAAGGGCTTGTTAATCCACCCCACGCACTGGTTGAAGAGCAAGAAAGCTTGGGCAGAAAGGCTCTTTGCCTTTAACGCACAGCCCCTCCATCAGTTCCTGGGCGCTAGGCAAACGGAAGCTAGCCAGATGCCTCTCTCATGATTCATACTGGTTGCCTTTTGCTCTCCTTCATGCCCAAGTGAGTAGGTCTAGGCAGGGACAACGTGGCTGGCCTCCCACCCTTTGCTCAGGGGAGAATACGCCTCTCACACCTCCCTTCTCATCCAATTACGTAGGTTTTGGGACATTTGCTGTAATTCTTTAGTGAGTTTGGGACAGCTAGGGTTGTAAGGGGATTCTGGGAACCTGTCTCAAAAAACATAACTTCTCCAAGCTCCTGGTCCTCATCTTTATTTCTTTAGCTATTCCTAGCTAGCTGGATAGCTCAGTGAGTTAAGTGTCTGGCTGTGGAGCCAGAGGTTGGGAACTGGATTCCCCCACTGAGCTCCCTGGTAGAAGAGCCAGCTTGGGGTGCCTTGGGGAAGCTGCACATCGTCTCCAGAGCTGCCTCCAGAAGAAGGGAAGGGGAAACCTCTTCTGAATTCTCTCTACCTGGAAAAGGTCACCATAAGTCAGAATGGAGCCGATAGCATACAATTATCATTATAATTATTTTAGACCAGGCCTTTAAGACTGTATAAACTTTTGGGCTTTGGTTTGAAATTGTGGGGGTTTTTTGGTTGTATTTTTTAAAGAACAATATTGATTTGGTGTTGTTGTTTTTTTAATTGCAATTTTGTACGGGAATGCAACTGAGGGAAAAACCAGCCTGGGTAGCCTTGGGCCAGCTGCACCCTCCCAGAGTTGCTTCCAGAAAGAGGAGAAGGAGAAACCCCTTCTGAGTATTATCTACCTGGAAAACTCTGAAAAGGGTCACCGTGAGTCAGAGCTGACTTGACAGCACACAATCATCATCATCATCATCATCATCATCATCATCATCATCATCATCACCATCATCATCACTACTACTACTCCTATCTTGGCTCTCTGATGGTGCCAAACCTACCATTGTTGTGTCCTTCACAGAGTAGCTGCAGGAACCGAAAGAGGTCCTGAGTGAACAAATCGTCCGCCATCACCTTTTCTCCTAGAGCGGGGAAGGGGTGAAGGGAAGAGACAGAACTGGCCGACATTAGCAGGAACGACGAAGGGAAGGGGAGAGAGAGAGAGAAGGGGTGTAAAGGAAGGAGGCAACGGGGGACGTGCAGTTAGTAGAAACTGGAAAGTTGGCAACGCTGGGTATGAACAGAGAACCAGTCTGGGCAAGGCAATCCATGCTGCAACACCGCGGCCATGCACAGGTCAAGGTGCAATCCTGCAGGCCTCAGTCAAGGCTAAGCTCTCACAGGCGCTCCTAAATAAAGAGCTGTGGGGCTCCAGGTAAGTGGGATTGGGGGGGGTGGAAACTAAGTAAAGGCCAAGGCACACATTACATAGAATGAACTGGGAAGCAAAAGTGGAAGAATTCTAGGTACACTACGGGGTGGGGTGGGGGTGCTGTAGTTGGTTGAGGAGAGAGACAAGTGCACTTAGCAAATACTTGAAAAGTAGTCCTACAGAGAAGGGGGACAGGATCTGTTCTCAATCATCCCAGAATGCAGGACACGTAATAATGGGCTCAAGTGACAGGAAGCCAGATTTCGCTTGAATATCAGGAAAAACTTCCTAACTGTTAGAGCAGTACGACAATGGAACCCATTACCTTGGGAGGTGGTGAGCGCTCTGATACTCGAGGCCTTCAAGAGAAAATTGGACAGCATCCGTCAGATCTGCTTTGATCTGGATTCCTGCCTTGAGCAAAAGGTTGGACTGGATGGCTTTATAAGCCCCTTCCAACTCCATTATTCTATGATTGGTGCCCAATATTAAAGCAAAGGAAAACAATTTAGTACCACCTTGTCTACTGCATGCAATTATTGTTTCCAACATAGGGGAGCATTACAAATAATAATAAGAAGAATATGGGTCATTTGTTAGATGTAATGCAGAATTCTACCATCTTCTTCTAGCGTCTCAACTGGCTCTACAGCCCATGGAAAGGGATCAGGCTAATGCGAAGACAGATTTCCAGGACTGAATAAGTAGTAATGGATGAAACAAGAGAAACATCATTATATACTGACGGTTCTTAAACACAGGCTCATGCTGCAATGCCATGACAAAACTTAATGGTCTTCTTGAAGTCTGTAGCAGGTGCTGAAACAGGCAATGCTTTTAAAAAAAAGCAACTAGCAAACTGAAAAGCCAGTTGCCTCTTCGGTGCAAAAGATACTGTGTTGGAAATGTTAAATAAACCATTTCCTGTGCCACACAAGTTTACCCCATGTACATGCATATCACTTCTTTGAGCTACAGAAGACCAATGCAGCAGTTCAGCTTTTTCTATGGACACTTGTCAAGTTTTCCTTGTCTCCACTCCGGGGGCAAGAACTTTAAAAATATACATCCAGCGGTCTTGTTAACAGACAAGAAAACCAGAATGGCATTAAGGTTCCAGAGCCTTAAACTGTTGATCTCAATCGCCGTTTTCAAGGTAAAAGAAGGATTAACCCAGAGAAAAGGGCTCTGGTGTTACTGGTGATCAGTAAGAGCTGAACTAGAGCGAGGACTGCAGTGACAGACCCGTTGTTAGTAAGATTATGGGTGCCATGCATTTGGTTACAAGATCTCACGGCTCCGTCGTGCAGGAGACTCTATACAGACAATCCTTGTTGGAAAAAGGTTGATGATCAACCACCGAGTGACCTTCCAGCAAAGATTCAATGTCTTTTTTTTTAAGTGATAAGAAACAAAATTACGTTGAGAAGGTAGTCAGAAAGATTAAGTTGGTATATTGGAAGAGCTTAATTCAACAATACGAATGTTAATAGCTGGTTTGCTCTAATTTCATCCAATTGTGCCTCTTGAGGCCGAATGCAAAAGCATCATTCTCTCCGAGGATCATGGATCTGCGATTTGCCTACGATACTGGCAGAAGCCGTCCTTGGTAGGGGACCAAGGTGAAATGCATCCCAAGTAATGGATCAGAGCAAGGCAAGGGCAATAGGTGGGAGAGGAAATAAATAAATAAAAAGAGCAAATAAAACAATAAAAAAGAAAAGAGGAAAATCAGAACCAAGCGAGTATAAGACAGCCGTTTGCCTTATTTATGAGGGTTAACAGAGTTAGGTGCAGAAGGGTCAACCTGTGACGGGTTCACACCATCCGTTCTGTGGCATCGGTCATTAATGAAGATATGAATCCAGCCGCGGCGGGGAGGGGAAGGGGAGGGGGGGTACGAATGGGCCTGCCATTCACAAGCACCTCGCCTTCCCTGTTCCTCCTGACGGATTCATACGGCCCCACCTGGCATTAATGACCAGCCCCTTTTCCATTGTTCATGTTGCTTCCTCGACTGTGCAGGGGA